AAACTGACCTGACTACGCATGTCTGCTGACTTTAATCCACCATTTTCTGCTCTTTTGTGGAGGGAGGGACAGCAGTGCTGTAGTTTCTAGCAGCACAGAACTTATCCTCCCGTTTTCTCATTCAATAAAGAAGGAAAAGACACAGCCTGCGCCGCTTCGCAAAAAAAAAAAAGTCTGCGCGTCACCTGCAGCTGAACCAGAGAGTACAGTAACGTCTCCACCATTATTAAAAGCTGTCACAGGTCTACTCTGAGCTCAGAAGCTCTTTGTTTATGTTCATGATGAAAGTAGAACTTTTTTCTGTTTCTTTAACCCTCTGAGGTCTAAATGGTCATTTTTGACTAACTTTGAGTTTACCTCAATATTTTCATTTTAAAAACTATTTACCTTCGCCAAATTATGTCCAACATCACAGTGTCACAGTGAGTCTAAACAGTTTGTCGTGTCCAGATGTTCTCTTTTGATCATTTTCAACATCCTCCTCAGGATTACTCAGGTGAATGTTCCACATGATGGTTCTGAACCTRTCTCTTACCTTCCCTGGAGTTAGCACAGACAAATAAATTTTGTCTCCTGTCCTGGACATTTGATGTGGACCTCATCCGGACAGAGCGGGTCTGCAAGGCCACCACCTCCTCCTCCTCCTCCTCTTCACAGGAAAAAAAACTGACGGGTCATCCACCTGCAGATATAAATTAGCTTGTATAATCTTGTGCAGTGCCACTCTACTCTGAATATTTTACGGTACATGTTCAATGCCAAATAAGCAAAGAAAAAAAAGACAAACCTCAGCTCCGTGTCCGATTCATCTCCGTGCGCGCCGACATCATCATCCTCACCAAGCTCATAAAAGTACGCAGAGCTTGTTCGGCCGTCATATAACGCAATTTATGTGGACAGACAGACTAACAAACTACTACACACGCTGCACACAAACTCACTCACTCTGGCTTACACAAGCCAACCCAAAACAGTGCTAGCTAAATCCTTCATCCAAAGTATCCATTATGCTCCGTCATCTTCGTCTCTCCAAAACTTTCTCCTCCCGGGCGGCTGCTGCTCGCTTCCTCGGTTTTTTCTGAGAAAAGTTTTTGATTGGCTGCTGGAAATGTGGTGCGTTCAAAAAAAATCGCTGTCATGATGCTATCAGTCATTTTCTGGTCACAAAACGTTCACTGAATGCGTAAAAACGTGCACAAAATGATGACGGAAATTATACATCATAAATCTCGTTTTATTTGGAAGTAAATAAATAAAAACATAAAAAAACACTTTTTTATTAAGTTTGAAGTCCGTACTATTAAACCGAGTTGAAATGAATGCTCAGCATGCTGTCATGTTTATAACAGAAGACATTTAAACACATCACGTGATCGCCCGCTCCAGAGCRGGCGTCGAACTCAGAGGGTTAAGGGAAAGTTAGCAACTGCACACGTCAGTGCTTCTATTCTGAATAAAAGCCTGGTGCATGTAAACACTCGTCATGATCGGATTGTGCCCATGTAAACGATACATTCCGATTATTTTATCCGAATACATTTCAATCCAATTAAAAAATTTTGCACATGTAAACATAGCTACTTATCAAATGTAAACAATTACTTATGACTTTAAAGATCAGAGTCCTGTCATATGTTGGTTAAAGATAACACTGTTTGGCATGTGTTTGTATTGTTTTCTGTGGTGTCTAAATATCTTGTATAATTTCTCTCTGCTTGTAGATTGGACCTGATGGGATGGCCCGACTGAGTAGTTCTGCTCTCAATAATGAATTCTTTACTCATGCCTCTCAGAGCTGGAAAGAAAGACTTGCTGAGGGTAAGTTTATCTCCACGTTATTGAAGGGCTGGAATTTTTCTTTACTACATTGTATAGTTTATGGGAAAAATCCAAATTGATATAGTGATAAACAACTCAAAGAAAAAACAAGACTTCAAGGCAGAAGTTTTCATTAGAACCAGTACTACATAATCATTGTGAAAACACAAATTAGTTATTTTCACTTTGAAAAAGATTGAACATTTTTAAATCTTAAAAGCCTAGCAGTCTTYGAAGTCTTCATGTCAGAGTTTAAGACTATCACCTTAGATCAACAAGTGACATGGCATCATCCTTATACTTGTGCTACTTGAACTGTTTTTGTCATAGCAGAAAAATAAGAGAGACATCTCAGAAGAACTTTGAAGTTAATGTCATTTTTACATGACAACCTTTAAATAATTTATGTATTTTTGTTTTGATTCTTTTATTTTTRGTAATATTTTTGGTATTCATCACCGATTTTACTTAGCGCATCACTTTAGTCAACCAAGAATTTTTAAATGTACCAATTAAATAAACTTTGACTAAGATTGTGTAGACACAATCAGGATACATGCAGAATGGTTTGTGGTAGGATTTTAATTTGGATGTGCAATAAAGTTCAAGAATGAGATGCTGAACCTGTTAAAGTGATCCACGATTAGTTGTAACATTAGACTTTATTTGATAAACATATATTTTAACTGCAAAATAAAGACCGTAAAAATACCGTAAGCTGTTTAGTTTTGTACATTTTTAAAAATCTATCAAAAAGAAAAAATAAGTAGTAGAGGTGCCAACCATTACGATCTCACCGTAATCATTACGATATTGAGACCCGCTCTGAACCATTACGGCGTACTAGACATTTATTGCGATCTGGCCTTGCACCGAGCTCCTGGGAACCCCCCTCCCGCTGCAGCAGCATTTTTCCACCTACGCGGTTCGGTTTGGCTCCACCGCACTCCGCACCCTGTAGCTGCCGCCCGCTTTCGGCCCACTCAGACCTGCTCTCAAGGTAGTACTGAGGCTGCCTGGCACCGTTTGGGGCGTGGAGGTGCCAAAGCATGTAGCAGTCACGGYGCGCTGGGAGAAGCTAAAAATATATTGGGCCCGTTTTCAGAGCAGTGAAGGACCACAACAACAGCTGGAGTGGCTCAAAGCGGTGGGACTAGAGCTGCTGTGGGTAAATGGTGGGGATCGCTCGCTACAAACAGTTAGTTAGYTAGCTGCTGCTAACTCTAGACTGGACTCTTTACAAACTTCATCTGCAGACGGTGAGTGCTTCGTGCATTTAGTGAGATATTGAACGTAATTTATGGGACACATGTCTTGCTTGTCAAACTGTACCTTTTATTTATAAAGTTTGTACCAATGTGTCCTGTGCGTTTCCAATGCTAACTACTTAGCAGTTAGCGGCCATCTCTAGTTAGCGATCAAGGCTAAAAACAACACCCCAGCTTTACATTTATTGTAATTAGAAATTAATTTTAACCRTGGTGAGCAGTGGAGGAGCTGTGTGTGTGTTTGTGTGCGCGCTTGATAGGAAGACGTCAGTGCGGTGCAGTGTTTTGTTTTGTYTTTTTGATACGATGCAACAGCCAGTGAACCGTGGAGGATTAATCTACAGATTGCACTGAGTTAATATAAATGACACGAAACAGCGACTTTTTTATTATTTGTTCAAAAATATTTAAGCGCCACAGAATCACTAAAGTGAGCTTTTGTTTGAAACAAGGCAGCAGGCGTCTTTCCCACAATAAATACGTCGCGGTCCAGTTCAGCCCAGCTGAGTTCTGCTCCACGCCTCTTTGCTGTGAGTTCCTTTATGAACACGTACATGTGAGCAGGACCAGCCCGCCTTCACCTGTGGTCTTATGAATGACTCGGGGAGGCTTAAAGCCAGACTGGTCTGTGCGGCAATGGCGCGGGTTTGACCTATGAAAGGGGAAATTTACTCAGTCCTAGGCATAAAGTGTGCAGTAAGTGTACTTTCATTTATTAGAAAATCATTTTGGTTTTGTTTTACTGCATTTATAAGCAAAGGTTTGCTGTAGCAGGGTATGGTTATTATTTACAGACTAAATATCAGACTTTTTATGTCAACAGTTAGCTTTAGCACAGAATGAGCAACGATAAACAGCAGCTACTTTTAAAAGACGTTACCRCTCCGAACCAGCCGAACTGAGCCGAGAGGGGCCGGACTYAGTAATGGAAAAGACTATTCTGCTTAATCTGTTATTATTTTTAAAAGACAAATATGGTTTCCTCCTTATTCAGTTTAAATATTGTGACAAGAATTYCCTGTGACTACAAATTCATCTTCAACTGTTGAGTCTGATGATAGAAGGGTGAATGAATAAAGGAGGCCCAATAATAGATGTATGTACTGTTTAGCAAAGTTATGTTCATAAAGCACCCATTTTATAAACTCTGTTTTAGCACTTGTTACTTATAATCTCTCCATCTAGAAATAAGTAGGTTTGTATGAATACTTTGAAGTTTAAAGATATAAATTCCATATATTTTTTATTATGCGCACAAACTGCCAAAAACGAACTCACTCCGCGCAACACAAATGCTCCGAGACAATCATTATGATTTGGGATGACTCCAGGTTGGCACCTCTGAAGTAGGTCCTCCTCACTCCACATATTTCAGCCAATCTGCATCAAAGTCACTATGGTGGGACCTAATCCACTCCACTACAGGAATGCGTAACCTATCTACTACACAGAACCCCCTACAATTATTACAAAAGCCATACTTGGACCTAGAATCATGAAATTTAGTACACGTGTAACGTCTCAGGACCTAAAAAAGTAGTCTCTTGGAGTCATTGTCCAGACCCCACTGGAAGTCAGCCATTTGGGTTCAAAACTGCCAGTTTCTATCTTTTCTTGCACATATATCTGAGCCAACTCCCCCTACAGCTTTGAACATGCAGACTTCCCATGCTGCTTGCTTCTCTCAACACTTGACTGGTGGCAGGATGGTRTGACAGACTGGCAAATGCTGATGCTTCGCCTTTGCACACGGTTATCTTTAAATCACACATACATCATCAGATCAGCGCTAAATTTTGTGTGCRTCAAGGAGACCCGCTTAACACATTAATGTGTTAGTTTGATGAGATCACTTTAGCCCTGCCCACTTTGCACACAGTTGGCTTTTAATCACACATACATGAATCAATCTGCACTAAATTTTATGTGCTTCATCAGTAGGGGTGTAAGAAAATATCGATACACTGAAATATCGCGATATATCATTTCCCGATACTGTATCGATATTCTAAAGCCTATATCGATTTTTTTTATCAAAGTATTTTTTATTATTTTTTAACATAATGCACAACAA